TACTAAAATTACTGTAAAATCATGAGACTTTACTGATCTCCAGTTTAAAATTCACAAGCTACCCAACAGTACTTCAAATTATAACCATTTACTGTATGTTAGTTAAAACTAGCTCCCCCTTTATTAGCTGCAACATTAAATGTGATGTATACAATAATGCACTAGTAATTATACTCAAATCATATGATATATATTAATGTTAAACGTGCCAATCTGCATAATGAGTACTTTTACTTTTGATACTTTAAGTATATTTTGATACTAACATCAATATATTTTTGTACTTTCACTTAAGTAACATTTTGAATGTATGACTTTTAATTGTAACAGAGTATTTTACACTATTGTATTGCTATTTTTACTTAAGCAAGGGATTTGAGTACTGCTTGACAACTACAGTACTTTGTGACTTCCTCACATGGTTTCTCCACCATTATAGCTGATCCTGTAACATGATACTGCTGTAACAGTGTGGGAGAACTTTCACTTTTATCATTTTACTGGCAAGACTTTGCAAAAGTTACAAGCTATCAGCAACAACAGACACACTCACCCTTATGGTAGACCTTGAACTCAAACTAATCTAACTGCATTTCTATGTTGCTTGCACTAACACACAACACATAGCTCACACTGCCACCTCCTGGCAAATGCAGTGAATATAGAATTGTGAGATAACTAAATGACTTAAAAGCAATATCAGACGAAATGTTAAAAATCCATCCATCCATTATCTATACTGCCTATTCCTGAACAGGGTGGTGGAGCCTATCCCAGCTGACACTGGGCAAGAGGCAGGGTACACCCTGGACAGGTCACCAGTCTATCACAGGGCCAGCACATAAAGACAAACAACCACACACTCACTCCTACGGGCAATTAAGAGTTGCCAGTCAACCTAAGCTGCATGTCTTTGGATTGTGGGAGGAAGCCAAAGTACCTGGAGAGAACCCACAAAGGCACAGGAAGAACATGCAAACTCTGCACAGAAAGGCATTGGGTAGGCCTGGGATCGAACCCAGAACTTTCTTGCACCATCATGCTAAATGTTAAAAATTCTAATACAAATTTAAATTTTACAGGTATATAAAAATCACTTTGCAGGTGTTATATTTTTTGTTTTCTCTCTCTTCAGCGGGTCTCACAATATCTCTAGAATTTATTGGCATCACCCTCAGTGTCACCTTTTTCCAAGCCTCCTTGCCATCAACACACTTTACATCTACAACTACATTCTTGCACAATAATTATTTTCTTTGCTGAGCCAACTTAATTATATCATCCTATAAAGTCATTTCTTCCTTTTTCATTTGCTGGCCTAGCCACCTGTTCCTTCCATTATTACATATATATATTTATCAGGTTTCCTTTAGATCAGGAACATCTCCATAACTATGCTGTGATCAGTCTTTCCATATGTGGACAGCTTCCACTAAATTCAGGTAAGGAATCCTTGACCATTCCATGCCACCAGAAGGTTCTGCTGCTGGTCACCAGTTACCATAAACCCTCATCTAAAGGACACTGGAGGTCAGTCTTACCTCGACATATGAAACATTTTCAATGGACAATGAAGCCATGAAACCTCATTAACTTCCCTGGGTGCTTTGCCATCACACTTACTGAGATATTTGATTCCTGTTCAGCTATACTCATCTGTTTGTGCTCAACCTAATTTTATCCCACCCATCAATGATCTGCAGCTCTCTTAAACTCTATCCATTCTCAACCCTAATTCATTCATTCCAGTTAGTTTGCTTTCTTAATGGCATGGTGTTTGTTAGTGAAGAAAGTCAGTGGAATGGGATCCATTTTCTTTACTGAACATAACTAAAAATAAGCCCTCAAAGTAAATGAGGTGCAATATATTGTGGTTTGCCAGTTTGTGTTCAACACTTACAATTTTTTTAGAAATTTGAAAATAGCCACTTTTCTTTCATCATTTCCTCCCCACTGTAGGATCTAATCAAGAGGCAGACTCTCTGGAAACATCTACAGCAGTGTTAGGTACAATAGATTTCTTTGAGTGTCTACACCTCTACACATAATTCACATGATTTTATTACAGCCTTGAATTACAGTATGCTAATTTATACTGAGGGGCTCTTTATTTAGTTTTTTTTAATTTTTTATTTAATTTTTATTTTTACTTTTTGCAAACAACACCGTTATTGCCAGTAGCAGGTTTGTAGATACCTCAAAACATCTACCACAATCTCCTGCTGC